TGATCATAAAAATTTGTCATTTGCGATTTATCACTGAAATATCCGGCCGATCTAGCCGAACTGAGGAGCAATGAATAATGCTAGATGATTCCTGTGAATTGCTTCAGGTAGATCTACGAGTGCTATCGTTTGATGTGCCCCCTCAAGAGATTCTGAGCCGTGATTCCGTCACTGTGTCTGTGGAAGCGGTTATCTATTTTCGCGTTAACAATCCTGTCATATCAGTCACCAATGTCAATGATGCACAATTCAGTACAAAACTATTGGCGCAAACAACGCTCAGAAACGTATTAGGTACAAGAACGCTCAGTGAAATGTTATCCGAGAGAGATAGCATTGCTAATGTTAGTGTTTATCGATAACATTGTAATTACGTACCATCGATATTTGATTATTTCATTGCGCTACTCAGGTAATTGAAAAAGTTCTCGAAGAGGGAACAGATCCGTGGGGTGTTCAAGTGCAAAGAGTCGAAATAAAAGATATTCGACTGCCACATCAATTGATGCGTTCTATGGCTGCTGAAGCAGAAGCAGCACGAGATGCCCGAGCACTCGTTATTCATGCTGATGGTGAACGAAACGCGTCAAGGTACATTTTCCTTAATCGACTTCGTACTCATCTCAATGCTTTATAACTCTGAGTGATCATGCATATACTCAGTTGAGTGACACAATTACCGTCACAAAAACAAAGAATCATTTGGAATTGATAAATTGGATTACTGATTCCTTAATGAATGAGCATGTCTCCCGTCATGAGTTACTAGTGATTTCTGGTGCTTAGTGTTATTTACTCCCCTCAGGTGTTAGCTCAGTCCGTAAACAAAGTTATTACGCACCAAAAACATTTGCATTAGGCTAACGGCAACTTGTTCAGAACATGTGCTTATCACTAAAGTGTACTTGCTCTGATGTAATACATTTGTTCTAAGCTCTAGATTACTACACACGAAACAAGTTATGAATATGTTTACTCTATCGAGTGGGAACAATGAAAGTAATTGTGTTAACACGTTAATGTTTCGAACTGAATGCTTAACTGTTCATCAAAAGAAAATTGGCAATAATTTAAGATCTCTGGCGGAAGCGGCTGCAGTCATCTCAGGAAGTAGCGTATCACTACAACTTCGGTATCTGCAAACGTTAACTAACGTCGCTTCAGAACATAACTCAACAATTGTTGTCCCAGTGCCTATGGAAATTGCAAGATATTACATGCGCAAAATAGCCAAGAATAAATAATTTCTCGAAATTGATCGCTGTTGATCGACTTATGACATAAGGTAATGAATAAAGCTTACGATATACACATCGCAATGGCATGCTGTGATAACAGATCAGGTTACTGTGAGAATAACAGTTTTTCTAACAGTTTTTTGATTATGGAAGGACACTTGCATTTCCCGAACAATCCAGTTTCAACTGAAACATTATTCAGTGATCAGTTGTGAACGATTAAACAAATCGAAAATTTCTAGTTTGAATTTTAAATACGCCAAAGGAGAACATGTTTTTTATCTACGTTCATAAGTTTCAAACATGAAGTTTGCGTTGAACGTTCACGAGAGAACAATTGAAATGTTGCTGCGGAACATATTATAAGACTGCGAAATTTGCAATGACAATGTTGAAGTTTTAATAGAACTATTTATTCATTCTTTTAAGGCACATTTCTATACATTAGGTGTTACAATACGATGAAAACAAATTAGGACTATATGTTCTTCAACAAAACAAATCGAGATCACATGAATAGAGCTATAATATTGATTTATCACCGTCACACACCACAACTGAACATTTAATGACACGTAGAGCATTGAATATTGTGAAGATATACATATCGACAAGTACAAACGAATATTGTTTCTTAACGAACGTACAGAATTTATTGCTGTAAGGTGAGTGCACAGACTAACATTTCTGCTTATAAAGACATCAAAATGAACAACGGTATTAATTAGAATCGTAAATAAAATGCAAATATATTATTGTGTTTTGATGAATAGATTTGACTGCAGCATGCTAACGGATTTTAGCGAGCAGTTGATGAGTCGCAATCATAATGCATACGGTTTGGTCTAAATAAAGTACAAAATATCACCTGAAATCTAGCGAAGGACAACAGCGTATTGCTCTACTATACGTTTCCGATTCAGCAGCACACTGCCGACGTGTTTTAGCTTAGTATAAGCTCGAAAATACAATTTCTTGCAAACAACATTACTTGCTGTTGTATATGAACAATTCAGAAGATACGATTACTCAGCATTCGTAACGTGTTGAACGGCTGAAGACTTTACTTGAATCGTTCTTGGATTCCATGAGAGGTTGATGAATTGTGATGGTATACAATTGAAGTATGGACACGTCCATGGTCTATGTGAATTCTTCCAGTTTTTGTGTTGAGCTGATTCACCATTTTAATGAGTTTCACTTTAGACGAATCCAGAAGCATTGTGAACGGAACGTTCATCATCACTGTTATCTTTGCAGGGAATGAACTCATCGACGTGTTGTGTTTCGTCAAATAAGTTGTACTCCACTTCGTAATGACCAACTCGTTCGTTTAACACAACCATTGGTACGAATCTGAATGACCTATTTGAATGGCATACTTTTGGACAGTCCGCTTTCGATGTTGCAAGTAACAACGCTTGCAGATAAGTTATTTGCACAAAAAGTGCATCATCGGCAGAACGATTCCTACTTACCGACGTCCCCAAATAATTTCAGAAGGTAGAAATGAGGTTCTTGCTTGAAAAGTCATGCCCGTTGCTTCTACAATGCCCTCAACGGTCATGATAAGCTCGAAGTTCGCATGTCGCAGTGTATCGCGGTTCAGACCGTACAGAGGGCTGTGCTCATCGATCACATGTCTCACAATGATCGGCCTGCAATTGCGCTCAAGTGTAACTAATCCATGCAGAAGATTGTAACTGAATAGCTCACAAAAGATCAGGAACGAAAAAAAAAACGATTATAGGGGTGAAAGTTCTAGATGCTTATGAAGTTGGGTGGTGAGAAAGAGATACTGAGAAAGTTAAGAAACCTCTACGGATGTTTAAGCTAGCAGTGTTCGAATGCTATATATTTGTAATCCGCTCAACAGTTGGATGCTCAAATCTCTAACCAACTGCAATCACCTAGAGAAAATGCTCAGAATACAAACCATAACATGAGAACTCGATCCCAGCCACTGTCGTAACCGACGTTCATATCCTTTATACCGACCAGCTCGCGAAGACCTTGCTGAATGAGTTAACAAGTTCATTACGTTCCACATTTGACCCGTAACTTGGCAGAACAAGAGCACAGCCATAACATAATCACCAAAAAAATTTCTGTGCACTGTGCACTCTGATCGAATGCTCATAAATGTGTAGAAATAACTGAGCAGTTCATTGTTCATTTATGCGTCAATCATAGATCATCGGAATAAAAGAAGATTTCGATTTAGTTATCATTAGAAGAAAGTAACGCTGTCGTTATGAGCATTTGCCACACAAAACTGCTTTACACAAATGATTTGAGATCAAATAAGAAGGTATGAGTTCAAAATGGAATCAAAAATGAACTTGATTGATTCGATTGCAAGCCATGTAGAGTCGAACATGCGATTCAGCCAAATACAATCGTTTTTGAATGTCTGCTATTCGGATCATGAGTGTTGGGCGGTTATCATGCTCATCCACTGGACCTACCACTGCTATTTGTGAGAAACGAATCTCCTGTAGTAAGAATAGCGCCTTAGAAAGTTTCGTTCTTACGCTATTACGATGGACATTGAGTTGATTTTTCAGGTAAATACATGTAATGTCAAATGAAAATCTCTCAACTGATAATCAGCATGTGATTTTCATACGAACAATTGCTGCTGAATGCTACACAAAGTTGGCTATGCGAAAGGAATGAAATGTAAGGGTTGGATGCGGCGTTTGGTGTTGAATAAAACGGAATCAGTGTTGAGTGTTGATGCGACAACGATTCGATGAAATCAAGAATCATTGATTTACTTGACGTCTTTTTTTCGGCCGTAGCACTTTAGCAACAACGATACCAGCCAACATAGTTTGTAGAAGGACACCGATGACGAGTTGTACACACAGAACAAGAAATGCTGGCGGACACACCTCAGTCATATATCTTTAATATCACCAATTTTCGAGCGTTTAATTCTTCTTGTCTCATCTAATCTTGCATTCGAAAAGAGAAAGCTATCTCACAAAGTAAGTGCCTCACTAATGATGTGTTGAAATGAAAACAATGTTTGAGGTGGACAAGCACATTTAAAAACTTACCGATAACCATACCCAATAGTATGCTGACTTTCGAGGCTGAAACGTTCCGCATTAGTTTAGCGCTATGTAACATTAATTATTAAGTTTTGATTGAATTCTAGAAAAGGTAATGAGTCAACCTCGTATGAGTATAATGTTATAAATGCAACCCCGTATGAGGACCCTAAACAGAAACATCAGCAAAATAGAAGTCTGAGGTCAACGATCTGAAACTGCGCCTAATCTCAAACCTTACTTGAATGAATAAGGCTAAAATACACCTGCCTGAATTGCTACACGTCTACAAGGTCTGAAGGTTGCACTGAAAGATATTTCAGACTTGTTTCTTCCAGAACTATGGCCATTATATAAAATTTCATGCAAGCAAGCCTTCCACTGCCTAAGGAATACTAACTGGAAGATTCGAGTAAACAATTCAGGGAAAAATTTCTACATTTTATCCCAAATTTTGAGTAAATGTGATGACTAATACCTGAATAAAAAGGCGCTTACGATGCTGTGGACATTTGCTATGCACTGCTTATTCTCCTCGTTGTGCTGAAATTGTATTATTGCCTTAAAAGATCCATATAAAAAGTATGAATTTAATCAATGCTGCTGCACTTGGATCATCGAAATCTCTGTGAACTGCGAACAAAGTATCCTCATAGATACGACATAGAGATAGATAAGCCTTAGAATAGCGAATGCCTTACTGATACATGACATCCATCAATCCCAAATGGAAATTTAATAGCACGTAACAATTTGAAAAGTTGAATGGAGTGAATTCACCTGATTAGTTGCAATAGCAAAGTGTTTAAGACTGAATCAACGAATACTTCTATTATGCAAGGAAGCCATAAGCTCAACGATTAAATGTGAATAATTGGAGGCATTCAGTCAAGGCAATTTCATCTCTACCAGGGAGATTATATTATTGCGTCATACTTGAACAGATTAAAACTTTCAACTGACTATTCGATGTTTTAGGTGGATTGGAAAACTGACTCAGACAATTTATGGCTCATGTTAACATCAATCAAGAAGAAGAAAAGTGGTCCACAAGGAGGAGTGAACTCGTGAGCCCCTCTTGCGGACCACTTCCTCACTCACTGACTAATTGTAATATGAGTCAATCTTTACACATGTGATTTTGTTAGTTAATCGTTCACATGATGCTCAATTAGAGATAGCTCCATAAGACTTTTTGTAGTGACAGGTGCCAGTTCACGGTGTTAGATAGATTTGGCTGAACAGATGCATTTAAACAATTCATAACTAAGAAATTGGAAAGACGACAAGTTTTTCTGTGTCTTTTCTAATGGACGTTCTTCGAGACTTTAATTTCCGTCAAGCTTTTCATAACTTTTCCATTGATAAATTAGTCGTGTTTTTTAGTTGCGTCTAATAAATGTATCAATTGATATCATCGCAACTAACCTTTAGATCGCCAGACAGTAAAACAATCACGTAGTAAAGCAGTCCAAAGAAGACCCAACTGAATATGAAACCGCCGGCAAAGATGAGCAAAATGAATCGCCAACTATCTTCGATGATGAGGTGAAACCAATTCCTGCAAATGTCAAATTTGATCCGTAATATTGTCAAGATTTTAACTGCTCTTTGAGCAGATTCAGTATATTCATGAACAACACATTGATGCATAGCAAATGACTGACAGAATAGTCATTGATTCGCACAACAGGAGGACATATTGGCTGATTGCTTGAGGAACCGAATAGTTTCATGCAATCAATTAAACACAAACGTATGCATGTTTTTTGAAAAAAAAACATATGCATAAACTGTATTCGACGGTCCTTGAAACATTCTGATTCAGAACAAACCAACACCCTTCGATTCAAAAGTATCCTTTTCTCACCATCAGATTCTTCATGAATTTTCAGATCATTTAAAGTTCTGTTAAAGAATACAGCGATATTCACCTGCAATTATTTCGTAAGTGATGCGGTACATGTAGATGTGTAAGCAAACACTTTCCATCTTTTGAGACGAGGCGAGGTTGCGGCGGTTCGACAACCAGCATGGGTGTCTTAAGCGCACCATTGTTGTGCTCCATTAGCGATGCTTCCTCGCTTTTGGTACTCAACGAAAGAGATCCGTCGAGAATCAGCTCACGCTGACTGGGCTGCTTCGAATGCAGCCCACTGATCAACGCGTACACCTGCAATCATTACCGAACTTAGAACAAACA